GGATCCGTGATATGGTGATACTTGAGCTCAGCGCGGACACTAGCCAAGACCTCATTGATCTCGGAAAAGCGATTGACGGGGACAAGGTCACTGTTCTGGCTTCTTTCGGCCCAGCTCGACCATTTTGAGATCTCGAATGGTATGGGTTCCTGCAGCTGGTGGCATGTTGTGATCTAGCGCTGGGTCAATAAATGCAGCCCAAAAGCGGGAATCCGTCTCACCATGATGCGCCGCATCTGCATGAACATCTTCAAGCCAACCACGGTCTGGAACTGGGTTGGACCACGCATCTCGATGCATCTCGCTGCAGCGATAATGTGTTGGCTGAACGCTTTCAGTGAGCCAGTGTCTGCAAAGGCAATAGTCTAGTACTGATTAGTACGTGAAACTCGAATGTGAGATAAGCAAGGCCGCACCTCAAAGGTCCCCATGAGCAATACTGCACCGAGCGTTTCATCAGACACTCTCTGCACAGGATCTTGTAGGGCAATCTGCAACTGACGAATGGCGCTATCATAAAGACGGAATGCTTCTGCCCGCCATTCTGATACGTTGCCAGCATTAGAAAGAGCAGCGAACCCCGCAGCCGCTACTGTTGTACTGAGAAGCCCGAAGGACGACTGTTGATTGCGGATGAGCCCTGGAAGAAACTCATGGTTGTCCCTTAGAGGCAAGGTTCCTCCTGCACTAGTTATATCAAAAACATACTGCCGCATAAAGAAAGTAGTAGCTCTGTCCCGTGCTGGGGGAGATACAGGTCGTTTCCATACTTCAGAGTTCAGGGTCACTGTAGAGCTTGATGTTGTTGTACTCAGTGCACCAGCATTCTTTCTGGCAAGATCTGCAGTGGTTTGGTTGCGGAAGAACATTTTACTTTCAGACGGCCCAGGGCATGCCCACCCCGACGTTTTGCACTGCGTGCATGATGGTGTTAGTTCATCGCACTGCTTTGTGTTAGAGATGCCATCAATTATATCAAGATTTCCTTAGGTGGGAGTCTACATATGTTTACCTTTATTTTTCGCTTCTTGCAGGTCGCGCACCCACGGCTAGGTTTCCCAGTGTTGACCATGACTGATGAAATTCTGACTGAATGATCCAATGCTCGTTTCAGCTTTTCCAAGGACAAATTGGGGATGCTTAGACGTGCAGAATATATAGAAGGAATATTATTGATCCGCTGGGTTGAAGTTAGAGTTTCACCAAGCCCCAGGAGCCGAGCGTTAAAATGTGACGTATCATTGCATTGCCGCCAGTTCTAGGTCCTGATAAAATGGTGCTAACGAGACTGTAAATGCACGCGCCTTTTAGGCGGGAGTATTAAGGCTGGCAATGCTACGATGTACCGGAGCGGGAGGAGGCGATGCAAGATCCTTGTCGCGATGCTGGCCCAGTAAGATTCGAGGAAAAAGCGGCTAAAATAGAATGTGAATCGCTATTAGTTACACCAAGCAACAACTTTCTCGGACTCGCAACTAGTAAGAATAGTGGTAAGAATGCGAAAGGAGTCCGAGATGAAGGATCCGAACACAGCCTCAATCTGAATATTGAATCTTACTAATAATTGAATGCTGCTGTGGTGCCCTGTTTTATCATTTCATTCTATACGCTCTGGGCTGATTGCGACCTCCCAATTATGCGCTATTTAGGCCCCCAAATGCCGTGAAGTCAGCAGAGGTGTCATACCTCATTATCTACTATCTAGACCACAATTGATTATAATACAAGGATCCATATCAAATGGCCCGGATATCTATTTCCAACCACTGTTTTGCGAGCAAGATCGAGGCTCCACTCAAATTTGAGGGGCTCATGTCTTGATCTTTTATTTGGCGATGAGGATACTAGATCAGAATTGTATAATAAACACGGTACAGTATATCGAAAGGTACCGGTATGAAAAAGGTATGCCTACGGATAAGAGCCTTTATCTCAGCCAGGTCTCAATGCCAGGAGTCGAAGAAATACTGGAAGACCTCAAGGAATACCACAGTTCCGAGAGCATGCAGTAGCTACATCAGTTGGGTCAGACTCAAGAGTAAGCCGCGAGAATTCACAATCCCCTTGGCCATCCCAAACATACCAGGACAAGCACATGAGGTCGATCGAGCAGGCTCGCGCCCATATAGCAACCGTGCTATACTGGTTGAAGGATCGATAAGGTTATGTCCAGTTGTTACCCCCCATTCCATGCCCCGAGTACAGATTTGAAGAAGTCAGGAGAGCAACCTCGGGCACCAATGAGCAAATTTCTGCCTATTTCTGTACCTTAAGAATCTATAGTGAGTGTATCAGAAGAGAAGCCGGACATAGCCAGATACAGGCTTTCTCTCGTGGGGAGACTTTTCTTCGTCGACATCTATCGCGAATACACATGCATCAATCAACGTAGGGAAGCGACGCACTAGTCATCATAAGGTGAGAAGATCTTCCCAATGTTATTGCATGATAAGTGAGTAGCGATACTATTCTAATACCATGCAGGCTTATCGGAACCAAGCGGTTTCGGCATGATATCCCAGCCGACCTCCAGACCCTCAATAGTAGCACTGTGCCTGACGGACTTCATGGTGCCGAACCCCGTCTCATGGACCTCGAAATACTCCTCAGGCACATCCTCGGGCTTTTCAAAGTCCTTCGCTTCAAAGCCGCTCGCTCCAGGGTACTGACCGAGGCTTCTCAAATACTTCATCATGCCAGCCAACGAAACATCGACCCTCCAGGAACCGCCCTTGACGGCGCGATGATACACGGCAGCCATGACGCCAACTGCAAGCATATATCCACCTGAGTGATCGAGGGCCTGGCAAGGTGTTGGGCGAGCAGCCTCGCCCTTCCCAGCGTGTTCAGCTTCAGAGACATTCATGCCTGAACATGTCTGCACAAGTGAGTCAAATCCACGGCGGCCTGACCATGGACCTTCGGGGCCGAAAGCAGACATGTTGGCAACAATGATGTTTGGATTGATGTTTCTCAACTCATCATGGGACAGCCCGTATGAAGCAAGGCTGCCAGGTCGATAACCTTGAACGAACACATCGCAGTATTTGAGAAGGTTAAGAAGCCGCTTTCGATCCTCAGGCCTGTGTATATCGAGTTGGACAGTCTTTTTCCCACGGCCAAATTCCCGATCAACCCTCGGCAGGTCTGGTAGTGTTGGTGAAGTCACCCAAATAACCTCAGCTCCATGGGCTGCCAGGGTCTTGCCGCATAACGGTGCAGCAATTACCCGACTCATCTCAACGACACGGAGACCTTGCAGGCACTTGAGATTCCCAGGCTGCATCCTGCTTGGCAGGCCAGTTGGAGTTGACTTGGACAGCTGCTTGATGCTGATAGGGAAGTTGCTGATGGCCCTCGACTGAGGGAGCTTATCCCATTGACGATATGATCGTAGAGCGTAAATTGCGACTTTCCCCTCTGCCGTTCCGCAGTTTTCCAAGTCGATACTGGCCCAATCGGCAGTCTGCTCAGATACTTGCTGTCGAGTAGCACCAGCTTTCAAGCCAAGCAAGTCAAGAGTACCTTGAACGTGGTTTGGAAATCCATCATGGATTCGAACGTAGCCATCTGACGTCTCATGCAATCCACCAATAGCGCCGCCTGACGCAGGAGCAAGTTCGTCAGAAACGGTATACAATCTTTCAGACTTGTACTCTATGACAGCATGCTCGAGCGGTACCGTGACCGCAGGAACAGAGGTTTTGTTTCGCAAGGCATGAAGCTGGCCAGCTGTAAGCGCAGACAGCGCGATAGAAGCTTGTCCGAGAATTCCGATTTTGAATGACGAAGGAAGAGCTGGACCTTTTTTACCAGGAAGCCTAACAGACGTCAAGGCCTTCTCGGGTAGACCAAGGCCTGTCCAAACCTCCTTTAAGACATCGAATGATTCGTAGTTTGTTCGATCGACACTTTGTTTGGCCTTGTTGGCGTCGGGGACAGTGATATTGCTTAGTTCTGAGGCTTGTTCGGGTGTCGGCATGATGGCGGGGTCGGCCGACGTATCGTCTTGGATGTAAAAGAAGGTAAAAGCTTGAAGATTGACAGGTTCAAGTTAGACTCAAGAACAATAAGGGAATATATATACGTCTAGTTGGTCGTATTAGATGTTGGGTGAAGCAGGGACTTGTCACGAGCGCCTTTTATCGGCAATTCCTCCACCCCATAACCGAGTAGCCAATCATGTCGTGCCATCACCACCCTCCCAGTGGAAGCTTCCTCTTTTGATAAACGAGTAAACGAACTTAGTCTCTAACTAAATGAGCAATACAGGAGATAGCGGCTTCTGGAATGACTGAAGGAAAGCCCATATTGAGGCTGTTAATGCCAAATGCATAGATAAATAATTCCAGGAGCAAGAGGAAGACTAAACAACCCTATACTCACATATATACGCTTATGGCGGTTCTTTATATTTAAGATAAATATTACTTATTTTAAAAATATATATATATACTGATATATTCTACCTCCTTAACATAATAATTAAGAACAAGCTTTAAAACCTCTTATTGTCAGGAAGACTTCTTTTTACGCTTTTATTTTTTAATCTTAAGTTTATTCCGCATTTTCTCAAACCAATCCATTATTGCTAAGTGTTATAGACAGGAGATCAAACAAGCGCAACCAGACTAATCATTTAAGTATTTCACTCTCTATACTCAAAGGGCTACTTCACTCAGGGCTTTATATATGCCATAGAGACCAAGTCAACTAATGACCTCTCGCAGTTATCGAGCCATCGCCATCTCGCATTGCTATATGCCCAACTTAACCGTGTCTCCACTTTAACTCGGAACACCTCCACACGCGGAAAGTGGGCGTTTTGTCTAAGCCTCCTTGCCAATTTCGGATCGCCACCAGCTTCTGACTTGATCAATTACTTCATTCAATCAAATTTTCTGTAACAAGCTTTTAAATATGGAAAAACTAACGCGTGGCAGATTCCGGGCTCGGACCTGTAGATGACGAAGCCGCAGTTGATGAGGAAGTATAAGATCATGAAAGAGTCGCGCCGTGTCCAGCAATCAGCACTCATATCGAGCATCACTTCACCACAATTCCACTCGCTCAAGAACATCTCACTTGCCGACATGTTGCAATCATTCGGAATCGCCATGGCTTTTCTAGCCTCCCCATCCTTCGCATCTTCTCTTTCGGAACTCTGCACCTCCTCAAACCTGAAAGCTGCACTGCCCTCCAACGGAACCCTTTTGGGGATCAACATGATCCCATCTACCATCACGGCTTCCACGGCGACTTACAATGCCAGTGCTGGTATGGGAGGCGGACCGATGAGGCGTGATGCCGATACTTATGACTACTGTAACGTCACTGTCACTTACACTCACGGCACCAAGGGTGACACCGTGAACCTCAAGTATGCCTTTCCTGATCCCGACGACTTCAAGAACCGGTTTTATGTTGCTGGCGGTGGCGGCTACTCTCTCAACACTGACACTACTGGGGGCCTCAAGTATGGAGCGGCCGCTGGAGCTACTGATGGCGGGTACGATGCCTTCAACTACAGCCTCGACGAGAAATTCCTTCTCGGCAACGGTTCCATCAACTGGGATGCAACATACATGTTCTCCTATCAAGCTCTCGGAGAGATGACCCAGATCGGAAAGTATATCACCAAGAACCTTTATGACATGTCAAAGTCGAGCAAGGTCTATACCTACTACGAGGGCTGCTCGGATGGCGGGCGAGAGGGAATGAGCCAGGTTCAACGATGGGGCGACGAGTATGATGGTGTTATCGCTGGAGCTCCTGCATTTCGCTTCGCGCAGCAGCAAGTCCTGCACGTCTACCCAGCCACCGTTGAGCACACTCTCGATTATTACCCCCCTCCTTGTGAGCTCAAGAAGATCGTCAACGCGACTATCGAGGCCTGCGATGGTCTCGATGGAAGGAAAGATGGTGTCATCTCCCGAACAGATCTTTGCAAAATACACTTCAACCTCAAGTCACTCATTGGCAAAGAATACTACTGTGCGGCTGAGACCAGTTCTTCACTTGGCTTTGGGTTCAGCAAGAGACAGTCTCCCGGAAGTCAGACGAGCAATGCCCCAGAGCAGAATGGCACTATTACTGCGGAGGGTGTCGCTGTTGCTCAAGCTATTTACGATGGCGTCTTCAACGGCAAAGACGAAAGAGCGTACCTGTCTTGGCAGATTGGTTCTGAGTTATCTGATGGTGAGCCTACCTACGACAACAAAACCGACGAGTGGACTCTGAACATCCCCTCTACTGGTGGAATGTACGTTGCAAAGTTTATTGAGCTACTTGACCTCGATAACCTCGATAACCTCAACAATGTCACGTATGACACTCTGGTAGACTGGATGAACACTGGTATGGTCCGTTACTACGACAGTTTACAGACTATCCATCCCGATCTCACAACCTTCAGGGAAGCTGGCGGCAAGCTCCTTCACTATCATGGCGAATCAGATCCCAGCATTCCCTCAGGTTCTTCCGTTCACTACTGGCAATCTGTTCGATCCATCATGTATCCAAAGCTGTCCGATGAGAAGGCACAAAAGGCTCTTTCCGAATGGTACCAGTTCTATCTCGTGCCTGGAGCTGCTCACTGCGGCACAAACTCTCTCCAGCCAGGTCCTTATCCTCAAAATAACATGAACGTTATGATTGATTGGGTCGAGAATGGTAAGCAGCCGTCGAGACTCAATGCTACTGTTTCTTCGGGCGATTACAAAGGAGAGACGCAGATGTTGTGTCAATGGCCTAAGCGACCTCTTTGGAAGAACGATAAGAGTTTCGCGTGTGTTGATGATAAGAAGTCGATCGAGAGTTGGACATACAGCTTCAATGCTCTCAAGATTCCTGTATACTAGTCCCCTTTTGGCTTCGGCGGGTAGTGGCTCTCGAGCAAGTATGAAGATGTTGTCCGTGTATTCAAGTATAGCTTTTAGGACCTTCCTGTACTTTACCATTATCTCGAATCATTCCATAGTCAAAATGACCTTCAAACCCAGCCTGACAGTTCGTAAATAACACTGTGACGTCAGAAGGCGGCGATTATTGATAAAGCCACCGTCAAGATCGATAGAGTGGTGGCTTCGCCCGTTAGTCAATTTGGTCAGCCAAGCTAGCGGATTGTGCAGATATGGACAAGCTCACCGAGTCAGTTGACTATTACTCTCTCACTAAAATGCCGAGGCTAAAACAAACCATCCCCCTCGCCTTTTCACTCCACAATTTTCGCTCTTGATTCCTCAATTACTGCAACTCGACAAATTCAGAAATAGGCGATTGACACAACCCTACAATCTCATATGGGCTCTCCAGGCCTGAGCCACGAGTCGCCACACTCATCTGAATCCCAATCGCAATCTCAATCTCACCAACAGCCGAGGACTCAACGGTCACGAGGCGGATGCCAGACGTGTCGGGTTAAAAAAGTAAAGTGCGACGAGACGCGACCGATTTGCCGACGATGCATCCGCTTGGAATTGACCTGCGACTATACGCGCCTCCCTCGCAAAAAGTACACCAGGCGCGCTATCGGTCCCCCTGTTGCATCGTATCCTGCAAACTTGATTGCCAATGCAGATGTGGCGTCAACCCCTAGTAGCACCAGCTCTACAGCCCGTGGTGGTCACCCATATCCTGGGGAGGTATACTCCGCAGGCTCTCTATCCGATACTCAGAGTGCAGATATCAGTTTACCACCACTGAATTCCATTGCGGAAGATGGCCTCGCACTTGACCTCTCACCCGACTGTGCCGCTATCTTGTCCCATTCCGATCACTCGGCAATCCACTTCTTCCGATTTGTTCTTCCAGGGATGGTTGGGACGCGGATATCGATGCACAGCGGCCCCGGGTTGGTCTGGAAGTTGGCTCAACAGAGTCCCATGGTCCTTCACATGGTCTGCGCAGTCAGCGGCCTGTCCTGGTCCGAGAAGACAACTGGTTCTGAGTCAGATGCCGAGTTTAGACGATTGAGAGCTATACAGCACTATAGAGAGGGTTTGCAGATGCTAGCCATGGCCACGCAGGTCCCTAGCGAGATCACCTATCTGCCACCTGTTCTAGCTACTTTATGGCTCATGCTCTTGTACGAGCTCAAGTTCGGGGATGGTTGCGGCATTGGGTTTGATGCACATCTTCGAGGCGCCACTTCGATATTACTAGGTCGATCGCAACTCAACAGCAGTGAAGGTAGTGAGCAGCGTATCTCACATATCATTGAAGCTGAGAGCTTCTGCCCTGTCTCCTGCAGGATTCTCATATGGCTCTCACATGCCGATGGAGGTGCTGTTCTGAATGGCTTTGGCGGGGCAGTCAACAACCTTCTAGGAGGCTCTTCACTCGATATGTCTGAGAGAGAAACGGAAGGTCGACTAGAACGCGCAAGAAAATTACAAAAGCGCTCTGTTCTTGCCAACTACGACTTGTGGGGAAGGTCGTATCCCCAGACAGAGCTGCTGGAGGATCTACAGTGTAGTGACCTGTCATGCTTCGATGCTGAATGCGCTCAGCTGAAGTTCATGGTTGGTGCCCTAGCTGCGGCTGAGCATCGAGACAACGTCCCCCACGCTTCGTGGAGACAATCTGTCGCAGGTGCCATTCGTAACGTCAGATCTAGATATGGAGAGTTGATAAGCATCGCTAACCGCCTTGAACTACCGGATGATGGACCTCATAGACGGTTCGCAATGGAGATGCAGTCGGTCGTCTCCTGCTTTCACGCCATATATGTCTGCTTTCTCCGCGTCACTTACGGACAAGAACCAATGTCACCAGAGCAACGCGAGGCCATGAAAGAAATCATGTCGCTAGCATTCAAGGCATACCGAGATCAGGGAGAGGAAGGTTTAGCCCGGCTAGGCTGGCCATTGTTCGTCGTGGCAATTGAGTCAGACGATATATTGCATAGATCTTGGGTTCTGGAGCGGTTTAGCGAGCTGGCATCCCATGGGGTGAACTATCGCCAGGCTTATCAAGCTATACAGGTTGCTATAGGAAGTCGGCCACTGGATGAAAGAACAGCGGGCTATTTCGAAGTGTTTCGCGTCGAATCCTTCCCGCGATTTTTACTTTGCCAGGGCTGTTGATAAGGCACTACATAGTAGAAATTTACGAAATAGCCGATCGGCATCAGACTCTGGCTTGTCTTGAATTACCCGATGACATTTTAGCTTGTCTGATTTTTTTCTGAGTCCAGACCATCCTCTCCACATACCCTTCACCCCGCATTCTCCAGATTCCCCAGCGACCAAACACTCGGGATGGGATATGCAGGCTGGGAGAGATATCGCCAATCCCAATTAGGAGTCAACTGTTGATAAGCTGCTCGGTCTCAAAATTGTGGCGTTCTCTATCTCTCAGGGCTATCAAGGCCTCACTTGATACTTAACCTTCACGGTCGAACAGCCCTCAATGTCCTCTACTCCGACTCTCTAGACCTCGACTTTCACCTGACCCTTACACTTTTTTCAACACTATCCAAGATCGCCAGCATCATGTGGTCCCCAACCGGTATCATCGGGCCCTTCCAGCCAAAATCCAGTAGTCTTACAGTCATGCTCCTCGTTGCCAGCGCAGCAGTCTACGCAACAACAGCCGGTTACGACTCGGCGCTCATGAGCGGAATCAACATCATTCCCTCCTATACCGAGTTTCTAAACCTCAACACTACTACCCGTGCCTTAAATGTGTCTGCAAACTTCATTGGATGGGGCATTGCGTCTCTGATAATGGGTCCTGTCGTCAACGCGATTGGTCGCAAGAACTCCATTTTGGTCGCTCTCTTGACCAAGCTTTTCAGCATTGGATTGGTTGCTGGCTCCCAAAACTTTGCCATGTTCCTTTCTGGTCGCATCATTCTGGGTGTTGCTTCTGGACTTTCAAGCATTGCTGGTTCGACGTAAGAGCTCTTTCTATCTTGCACGCCTTTAGCTTCGACTAACCTCTTCTTAAATACAGTTGGCTCGCCGAGACTCTTCCGCCCAAGATTCGCGGACTAGGCCTAAGCATTACTTTCTCCGTCTACTACGTTGGCGCCTTGATTTCCGCAGGCATTACCTATCGAACAGCCGAAATCCCCGGAGAATGGTCTTGGCGTCTTCCTATTCTTTTACAGAGCATGTTCTCCTTGATCTGCATCCTCTGTCTGTTCCTGACTCCCGAATCGCCCCGATGGCTTTCCCATCAAGATATGATGGACGAAGCTCTACAAGCCATAGCGTCAATTGTGGCCAATGGAGACCAGTCCAACCAGGAAGTTCGTGAACAATATCAAAGCGTGGTTGATAGCAGAGAAAGGGAGCGAGCTGAAGGCAAGACGGCGTCATACACTGAGCTCTTCGCGACTCGCTCCGCTCGGAGACGACTCATGCTTGCGGTATCGGTAGCTGTCATTGTCATGGCAAGCGGTAAGTCCCAGATCGACAGGCTAAGCGTCTATATATACTGACGGTATCAGGAAATAATATCGCATCCTTTTTCCTTGGAGACATGCTCACGAATGCTGGTATCACGAATAGGACTACCCAACTACAAATCGTATGTGATGATGCTATAATACTATCATTCGTTGCTAACTGTATCTAGAACATTGTACTACAATCTTGGTGTCTTATTTGTGCAATGATAGGGACGTTCCTGATGGATAGAGCTGGTCGAAAGACCCTATGTCTCTCTGCCTGCGTCGGAATGACCATCCTAATGTTTGTAATCGGCGCACTGACCAAGAGTAAGCTGACATAGACCCTAACATCTACTCGAACTAATACCTTTCTAGCTTTTAGTACTAGCCAAGACCTCGCTGGGATCTATGGTACAGTCGCTTGCATCTTCCTCTTTATGGGTGCATACAGTGTTGGAATCACCCCCATCACGCAACTCTACCCTCCAGAAGTTCTGAGCTACTCTATCCGTACCAACGGAATGGCCATATGGGCTGGAACGATTGCGATATTTGCGTGAGTTTCCTATCAAGTCCGTCCTATCCTGGACCACGCTAAAAGATACAGCATTGGAACCACTCTTGTGTTCCCAATTGCGCTTGAGGCTATCTCCTGGCGTCTTTACTTCATCATTGGAGCTTGGGATGTTCTAGAGACCATCTTCGTTGCTGTTTTCTGGGTCGAAACAAAAGGACTGTCCCTCGAGGAGATTGACGAGTTGTTTGAAGGGGTAGTTTACAACGGTCATGGAGTTGGGGAGGTTCGTGAAGATGGAACCATGACCAAGGATCAAGATGAAAAGGATCGATCTGTATCTGTTGCCCGCTCGGCCTCGGAGTAGCCTTTTCCGGCTAACGTCTCCCACCCAAAGACCGGCCACCCCTATAGACTGGCCACCTTATTTTCAACCTAGCCACCCAATTTATATATACTTTAAACAGTCATAACTCTATCAATTTAATTCCAATTAATTTTAAACTAATGCCAATTAATTTAGAATGCCTTCTTTTACTAAAAAAGATATAAGCGCTACGCTTTAGATAGTTGCAGACAGTATATCAGTAAATAAAGCAGCCAAAGCTTATAGCATTAACTATTCTATACTCTAAGGTCAGATTAAAGGAAGTATAACACTAAAAGAAGCCTAAAAACCTCACCAAAAGCTCTCTAATACTTAGGAAAAGCGTCTTTAAGACTAGATTGTTATCTAAGCTAATCTAAGATACCCTATATTGCATCAGCAAGTCAGAGAGTTCGCCAGTAAGATTGCCATCTATAACGGCTTCCTAGAAGGCATTAAAAAAAACTAGTTATAGGGCTTTTTAGGATAAAATCCTAATATTAGGACTTTAAAAGGCAAGAAAATTAACTTTAATTAATATTATAGAGCTTCTTCTAAACTAATAAAGGCATTCTTTATA